GGGGCCCTACCCTGCCTGGGGAGTGGTGGGTGGATGGGGTGGGGGTAGGTTGGAGGTGGGGGAGGAGGGATGGGGTGAGGGGAGGGAGATGAAGAGGGGACTTACATGTGAAACAAGCCTGTTCCCTAACTTGAATTAATAATAAAAAAGAGAGTAAATATGATCAAGATATGTTGTATATATTTATGAAGATGGTATAATTTAATTCATTATCTTATGAAACTAATAGACACTCATAAAAGCAACATTTTTCTAAAGACAAGGAAACAAATCAGTATGAAACAGAATGCTCCCACATCCATCATCTTAATGAGTTTCAACAGACATGTGAGAGCCAAAATCCTTACCCATAGGCCTGGCCCAGCGGAGCTGTGTGTATCTGTGATGGTTAGTTTTATGTCAACTTGACACACACTAGCTAGAGTCATCTGTAAGGAGGGAACTGCAACTGAGAACTCCTCCATAAGATCTGTCTGTAGGGTATTTTCTTAATTAGTGATTGATGGAGAAGAAGGACACAACCCATGGTAAGTGGTGCCATCCCTGGGCAAATGGTCCTGGGCTCTGTAAGAAAGCAGGTTGAGCAAACCATGAGGAGCAAGCCAGTAAGCAGCACCCTCCATGGCCCCTGTGTCAGCTTCTGCCTCCAGGTTCCTGCCTTGGCTTCTCTTGGTAGACTGTGATTCAGGATGTGTAAGTCAAATAAACCCTCTCCTCCACAAGTTGCTTTTGGTCAAGGTGTTTCATCACAGCAATTATAATCCTAGCTAAGACAGTGTCTCTAGGGCTGGAGAGATGGCTCAGCAGTTAAGAGCACTGATTGCTCTTCCAGAAGTCCTGAGTTGTTTTTTTTTTCTTTTAAGACTTATTTAATTATTATGTATACAACATTCTGCCTCCATATATGCCTGCACGCCAGAAGAGGACACCATATCTCATTCTAGAAGGTTGTGAGCCACCATGTGGTTGCTGGTAATTGAACTCCGGAACAACAGCCAGTGCTCTTAACCTCGGAGCCATCTCTCCAGCCCGAGGTCCTGAGTTCTATTCCCAGCAACCACATGATGACTCACAACCATCTACAGTGGGATCTGATGCCCTCTTCTAACATAAAGTTGTATATGCAGATTGAGCATTCATATATAAAATAAATAAATCTAAAAAAGCAGTGACTCCAGGAAGATTTGATGGACTTTGCAGAGCCCCCGTTGAGGGCCCTACCCTGAATATCAGATAGATATTTGGATACAATTCTAGTCTGCACTCAGTAGACAGCAATCAACCCACTGAATTCCTCTGGTAAACAAAAAAGGAATGGGGCCAGAAAGGTCACTCAGTGGGTAAAAGCACTTACTGCTAAACCTGGCATCTTACCTTTGATCCCTGAGACCCACATGTTGGAAGGAGAGACCTAAGTCCCACAAGTTTTCCTCTGACCTCCACATTATAAGATTCTATTTTTTAATTATGCGTGTGTGAAGGTGGAAAGGTCTCTGCATGTGTGTGTGCAGGTGCCCTGGGAGGCCTGAAGGCAGTGTCAGAGTCCATAGATCTGAAGTCGCACAAGGTTGCAAGCTACCAGACGTAATTGCTGGGAACCGAACTCAGTTCCCCTACAAAAGCAAGACTGAGTCATCTCTTCAGCCACTGATTAAAAAACAAACAATGAGAAAAGTGTCGTAGGTTCAGCTTCCTTCTCATGCTTAGAAGTCACTATTAAGTAGCAGGAATCCTGATCTGGCTCTTTCTTAAACACGCGCACCTACAAGCAACACTAAATGGTGAAAGAATAACAATAATAATTTTAAAAGAAGTCCTGGGGGCTGAAGAGATAAATCGGAGGTTAGGGGCACTGACTGCTTTTCCAGAGGTCCTGAGTTCAATTCCCACCAACCACATGGTAGCTCACAACCATCTATAATGAGATCCGTTGCCCTCCTCTGGCCTGCAGGCAGACATCCAGGTAGAACACTGTATACATAATAAATAAATCTAATTTTTTAAGAAGTCATAAATTTTAGAGGGGGGATTGGAATGTGAAGAAAGAGGACTAGAAAGGATATAAATACAGCAGTCATGTATGAAATTCTCAAAAACTAGAAAATTAAAAACATGGGGAAAGTAAGACATGGACCAAACAAAGGGCAATAACCGAGTACAGAATGTGTCCCAAGAGAGCTGTCTCTCACAAGACCCTCTCTGAAGTTCCTGGTTTTGAAAGAGCTCATGGGTATGTTCATTCAACGAAGAAAAAAATTAAATTAAGGAGTTGGAAAGACAACTCAGTGGTAAGAGTGCTAACTGCTCTGGTTGAAGACCTGAGTTCAAATGCCAGCACCCACCTCTGATCCTCCCAACATCCTGTAACTCCAGCTGCAAGGGATACAGCGCCCTCTTCTGGCAACCACAGGCACTGCACCCATATGTCCAAATCCACATAATTAAAAATAAATCTTAAAAAAGGAAAGCCATCTAAGTACAAACTTAAAGGGCTTTTTATCAGGCCAAAGGCACCTCTGTCCAATCCATACCTGGTTCTCTGGACAGAAGAAAAATGTATATGCTTATAGCCCAAATCTGTAGTTTTTGCTAGGACTCAAAGTTATAAATATGTTCCTGCTGCTTGAACAGAGATCCAGATATCTGCTTTTTCTGCACTGTGGGCTTCAGTAAATAACTTTTAACCTCTGTTCCTAGTTTAAACATGTCTTAAACAGGTTTCTGCTTCTGGCAGACATCTGAGTATCAGTTGCTGACTACAGGCTGTTCTAAGTAGACTGTGAGCCCTGGACTTGCTATGGATGTGAACCAGTCCAGCTGATGTGGACACCCCCTGTCTCTGCAACAAAGTCTGCCAACAGCCCCTGATGGATTCAGCATTGCTTAAATTCCTTTTTTGCTTATGACTAGCATTTCAACCTTCTGGGGCCCCTAACTTCGTCCCAAAGTCAGCAGGAAGTAGCTTGGGAAAGAATTCGCCACCCATTTTCCCTGGTTAAAATGCTAAGTCAGGAGGGACTCCCTTGTATGGGGATGCCAATATCTCTCACTCCCTGATGGGGGCGCTAGAGAGACAGCCATTCCATGATTGGAATTTCCAAAAAAAAAGAAAATGGGGGAATGAAGGGACCAGCTTCCCATTTCGGCAGCCATGACAGTAACATGTGTTCTATGACCTTGTCTTAGTCACTAGAGGTTAGGTGCCTGCCTCGTGACAAGGAACCAATCAGAAGTTAGCTGGTGGTGCTATGGTTTACGACCCTGGGTTACTTTACAGACAAGCACACAGCAATGCCGCAGAGCATAGCACCCACCCTGGCAGGGCCTATGGGCCATAACAACCAGTAAACCAATCAACACAGGGCAAGTCCTCCAAGGCTGGAGGCACGCCAATCCTGAGCCTGTGCGTACCCCTAGACATTCCCCTTATGCTGCCCTACAAAATCTCTTGGGAAGCCCTACGAGTTGTCTTTTGTGAGCCATCTGCCATGGCTGGTGGGTGAAAGACCCGAGCTAACATGGGGTTAGCTCGTTAAATTACAATAAAGCCTCGTGCAGTTTGCATCAAAAAAAAAGGAAAGCCAGGCAATGGTGATGCATGCCTTTAATCCCAGCACTTGGAAGGTAGAGGCAGGCTGATCTCCGTGAGTTCAAGGCCAGACTGGTCTACAAAGCAAGTTCCAGGACAGCCAAGGTTGTTACACAGTGAAATCCTGTCTAGAAAAACCAAATAAAAAAATAAAAACAGAGCTAGACAGGATCACATAAGAGCTACATTAATCCCCTACAAGAGCAATGCCCAAGTGATCCAGGCACATTTCACTAGAGTCTACATCTTAAAGTGTCTACCAACCACCACACTAAGGACTAAGCTTCTAGCACACAGGTTATACCACATCCAACCTAACAGAAATACCAAAAGCTCAAACTGATTTTAAAATACTAAGGGAAAGAGACCCAGTCAAAGAATAATAGCAAGAACAAAGGCCCAGGAGCAAAAACAACTGAACACTTCAGAGGAACACAAAGATAATGGGGGAGGCTGAAATTCCATGTGTGGGGCTCAGGTTAGAGGTAAAAGGTGAATTAGTTCAGAGAAGTCCATTTTAGGGTATTTATTTATTTATTTGCTCATTTATTTACATGTGTTTGTTCTTTCATGTGTTTGGGGTTGGTTTTTTCATTTTTGTATTTGGGCATTTGGATTAGTGATGGTGGCAACTTAGGTTTCAGGTCTTATCTTTTTATTTGGTTGGTTTTTGTTGTTGTTTGCTTTGGTTGATTGTCAGGGGCACTTTCCTTTTTTTTTTTTTTTTTGTGACTGTCATCTAAGAGGCCATCGTTTTAGTTTCTGTAGCTTACACTAAAAATCCTGTGTAGTAGGAGAGTAAAGCTCACAGTGGCCATAGCAGAGAAAGGCTCCTCTAAGATACACATGCTGGGTTCTGAAGACCAAAATGGGATCAGCCATAAAGTTAGCAAAGGAAAATTATATGAGATGGAAAGAGTTCTAAACTTTGAGGTGAGAAAAGAACTTAGAATGTTCTAGAGCTGAGGGGTATTTAGCATTTTAATCTCTTTGGTGCTATAATAAGTGGGATTGTTTTTTTTTAAGGTATGAGTGTGCAGGTGCATGAATACCTCAGGTGTCTGTCTTCAGATGTCTCTTCCACCATGTTTTGAGTTGGGGTCTCTCACTAGCCGGGAGATGGCCAAGTGTAGGACAGGCTGATGGCCAGCCAACCCCAGGAATCCTCTTCTCAGCATCCCCAGAGATTACAATCTCACCACCAAGCCAGCCTTGCATGTGTTCATGTGGATTCTGGGAATCAAACTCAGGGCCTGTGCTTTGAAGGCAAGCCTTTAACTGAGCCATCTTTCCTCCCCCAGGAATTGTATTCTTAATTCAGTTTTTTGATTGTTCATTCCAAGGGTATAAAAAACATAAATGGGGGTCAACCAGATGGCTCAGCTGAAGGCACTTGATGCCAAACCTAGAGAGTTTGATCTTGGAACCCATATAATGAAAGGAGCAAACCAACTGCTGCGGGATGTCTTCTCACCTACATACGTACCCTGTGGTGGTACATACACACACACACACACACACACACACACACACACA